ACTACAAAGTAGTTCGTCTCTTTCTCTCTCACGCACTCTCTCTCTTTCGAGAAGGCGATTGCAGAGAACACTCAGCACTGTAAAAGAGAAACAAAGAGAAAGAAAAGGGAAGAGACATAGAAAGAGAAAGAGGAAAAACGACAGTCAAGCAAGAATTGAAGAACTTCGACAACGATATCTCTCTCTCACACCTCCTCGTAGAGGTTACTACTGTGTATATGCTTTACAATTTCTAAATTCGACAGTTTCTGGTTTATTCTTTCTGTAATTATATCGAATTTCACAAAGCTTCAAGAAACCCTCATGTGCTACTTTTTCTTTTACCCCCTTTATTGTCTGTAAACCGATCTATGCATGTGTTTTGCTTCAAGATTGCTCCGAAGAAGATGGTGATGATATGGAAGTAGCCAGATTCCAAGAGCAGCTGCAGCACAAGAACAAATTCTCATTGAATTCTATGTCACAAGATTATATTTTTAATTTCTCGCATGGGTTTGATAGACCATCTCAAGATCAACAACAACAACAAAATCAGAATCACATCAACCATCAGATCCGAAGAGATAAGTTGCGTATACAAGGTTTTGAGCCACCACCGGGTTCATTGGTGGGATTAGAAGATGAGGGAGCCGGTGGAGCCGGTGGGCTTCCGGCTGTCTACGAGTCCGGTGCTGGGATGTTGTCGGAGATGTTCAATTTCCCATCAGGAGGCCCAGCCACCGAATTACTTGAGAATCAAATAAACTACCACCAACATCAACGAAATCAGCGGCCTTCTGCCACCACCGGAGATTGGTATGGTCATAGCGCTCAAGCCATGCAGCTTTTCTTGATGAACCCATCACATGATTCTCCTTCCTCGCAATCTTCTTCTCACCATCACCATCACCATAATCCTTCTACTTCTTCTTCAACACTTCACATGCTTTTACCAAATACTGTCCCATCTTCCACTTCCACCCTTCATCATCAACAAAGCTTCGGTAGTTCCTCCGCTTCTGGGCATGGCCAATTTGGTCAATCCACGCAATTCGCATGGGTACCACCGGGTAGTACAACCCACGAAGGTGGTGGTGGTGGTGTCGATAGCCATGGACTTTCTTTATCTTTATCTTCTACTCTACAACACTTGGAAGCAGCTAAAGTTGAGGAATTAAGAATTAGCGACGATCCAGCTGCAGCTATGTTTTACTTCAATCAAGCAGGTGGTGGTGGTGGAAGTGATCCATATCGGAATTTGCAATTGCAGGGAGGAGGAGGAGGAGGGGTTATGGGTCAAACCCACCATCCAATTCATGTCGGGTATGGATCTTCTTCATTTGGTGTAGTGAAAGCGTTAAGGACTTCAAGATATGTGAAGGCAGCTCAAGAATTACTTGAAGAATTTTGTAGCGTTGGAAGAGGTCAGTTCAAAATAAACAAGTCTTCGAAACATAACACTACAAACAACTCAAATCAGAATCCAAGTAACAACGCCGCCGGTGGTGGTGGTGGTGGTGGTTCATCTTCTGCTTCATCAAAAGATCTCCATCCTTTGTCATCTGCTGAGCGAATTGAACATCAAAGACGAAAAAGTAAACTCTTATCCATGCTTGACGAAGTAAGTCAATCTCTCTCTCTCTCTCTCTCTCTCTCTCTCTCTC